AGAGAATGTTTTAAGAGGTGATTTGAATGAGGCTAAACACTCAAACTGGCAAGCATGAAGAAATAGTAAACTCTGAGGTGGCTGTAGAGAAGATGAAATGAGTATTGCAGCGGACACCAAACAGATACAAGCTGTCCACTCTTGACTCATACCTACAAATTGATCTAATGTGAGCCTTCAAACTAAAAGGCCTAGTTTCCAGAGGATTTGTTTAGTGTGGTTCTTATCTGTTTTAGCTGAATTAAGATAAAGATACTTTTTTATAAGCTAGGTAATCCATGCAGCAGAAAGATGATTATACATCCTAACTGTGGGGAAAACTTGAAACAGTGTTTGTGCCTTAATAGATGTCAGATGACTAATTTGTCAGCAGTGAGTAATATCATGGAGGTTTCTTGACAACAAAAATTCTTGCAATGACTAGGAAGATTTTGTTTTGTGTCACATTTTTTCCCACTTCCAGTTAAACCATTCATAACTTTTTTGTCTTTTCCTGAGTTCATGCCCTATCATTAATCTTCACTGAGGGCATAGAGGTTCTCTATTTGGCTGCTATTTCCATGAACCATGTGAGAAGTCAGTATCTTTTGTACATCTACCTCTCTGCCTTATTTGGAAATTGGCCAATGGATCCTGAAGTTATAAAGAGAAAAAAAATGAGAATGGGCATAATGACAGGCAACACAGTGACAGCAGCTGCCCTTCTCTTGGAACCCAGACAAAAATACATGTTTTTTCATATCTTAAATGTTGAAATTACATGGAAGGCACCTTCTCTGCACTTCCAGTTGAAACAGAAACCAGATGTTTCAGGGTTATATTCTCTGGTCCTTTAAAGAAAAGTTACTTTGAAAGCTCCTGCCCCAGACACAGCCTAAGATTTTTTTTTCTGTCACTTAAGACTGTGAAGGTAGTCAACACACCTTTCTCCAAGATTTTGGAAACTTCTTATGAAAAAACTTGTTCAGGACAAATAAGTGTCTGCTCATACTTTCATTTGGAAATCAGCTTTCTTTCTTTCTTTCTTTCTTTCTTTCTTTCTTTCTTTCTTTCTT